GAGGGCGAGGGGCGAAGCGTAACCTCCCGCGGTGGGCGCCGGTGCCTGCGATTCTCGAAAGCAGCTCGGCTCCCACCGAACGGCGCCTCCGGGAGGGGGAGCAGAGCGCGGGACCCGCACCATGGTCCTCTGATTAGGGTTGGGTCGTGGAGAGCCCGCGACGTGGAAACGCTCCGGATTCGGGAACGGCGCCCACCCCATTGCCGCTCGGCTGCGTCCGGGTTCCAATTCGCTTGTCCCTGGTAGGAAGACCGGGTGGGAGCTGGGAACGAGCCAAGGGACCGAGCCACCAGCACGTTCATGGGCTCATCCACCGATTCATTGAGCGATTTTTGAGTGCCTGATCCTGTGCCCCCTACTGTGGAGGTTCGCCAGGAAACGGGGTCCCCCCCTCCGAGGCACAGTCACCAGTGTACAACACAAGCCAGTGTCAGGAGAGGGCCCCAAGTCATCAAGGACATTAGGGCTGGAAAAACTGGCAGGGAAAGCTGCAGGTGGGATGGCGGGAATCAACCCAGGTCCTCTGGAAGAAATGGGATGTCATCAGGAGGCAGAGAAGGGAGGGGGAGGACCGAGCCGGGTGGATTCAGGGCACCATCCCCCAGCAGAGGATCTGGGGAGGAACCGGTTGAAGTACAGCCTTGAATCACAACTCTAGGAATTTGAATTCGCTGTATCACTCGGAGAAGAAACTATTGAAAGTTCTTGACAAAGGGACATAAGAGATTTAAGTGGTATCCTGAATAATCGGTTAATCGTTAATTAGGCACTAGGGTGAAGGTAGAGACAGGTAAGTTACTGGAGGACCAAGTCTAAAACATTGAAATGAAAGAAGGAGCAAAGCCTGATTATAAGATTGGCATTGCAGAGGAGAAGAAACGAAGTTAAAATTGAGTTCAAGGTTTTGCACTCAGAGGACTGGAAAACCAGTACTGCCTTTTGACGTCAGGGAAGAGGGTCTGGGACAGCTGGAGCTGGATATGTGTCACACCTATTAACTTGGAGGGGTCAACAGGACATCCCTATTTCCTGTCAGCAGCTAAAATTAACGACCTAGTTTATAATAATTCTTCAGAAAACAGCAAATTCTGTATAAAATTAGGGGGCGTGAGTTCTGAACCAGCAGACAGGAAGAAAAAGCAAAGGAAACATGTCTTCTAAGCAAAACGCTTTTGATCTCATAAGATCTTGTCTTTTTCTTTTGAATTCATTAGCCATCAGAGATAACATTTATTACCCATCAGAGACAAGGTGTGTTCTACAAATATTCATTCATTTTGCACTCACAGTAACCCTAGGAAACAGTAACCCTAGGAAACAGACCTGCCTTGTTTTACAGAGAAGGGGCATAGAAGCCCAGAGAGATTAAGTCATATTGCTAAGGTCACACAGCTGGGAGCTGGTAAGTGACCCTAGGTGTCCCAGCTGCAAGGACCCCACTTATAGCCACTGCATTAAGTGCCATCTGTTTACTACCTTTTACTCCTGTTGTCGAAGAGTTACAAATGCAGCCTGCAGTCTGTTGTCAAATACGGTGCTTTTCCTTCAGTTCCCTCCCAACAATACAGCACCTGTGAGTCCCCAGTCTGCTCCCCAGAAGCCCTTCTGACTCTGCTCTATGCCATCTGTGGTTCTGACTGTTTCTGGGCTTCTGGGCCCCAGCACTGCCTGTTCCAGCTGCTGCAAGAGCTCTGTATGGAGATTCTTCTCTATGTTCACCCGCACGTGCCACCGGCCCCACGACTTCCCCGTGCCCTGTGGTTGAGGGAAACCCTAAGCTCTGTCAGCCTTTTTTGGTCTGTTCCTCCAACACTCCTCCTTCCAAAACCCCCACCCCAGCCTCTGTCACACATCAGAGCTGTCTCTGAAGCTGTGGTCTGTGCCTGGAATGCTCTTACCCTTCTCACGAATTCTCTCCCTTTTTGGTACTCAGGCAGCTTCTGAAACTCCTATTGGTCCATCCGCGGGACTTTCCTCGGGGAATACAGGAGGAGAGCAGTTCTCTGCTTTGCTGGTTCAGCACAGCCTCCCGAGTCCAGCCTGGCTGAGGTCAGGGCTCCCCATTTACTGGCTGTATAAGCGTGGGCAGGTTTCTAAGCTTTAATATCCTTGTCGCTTGTATGGGATGTTCATAGTTAAAATCAAAGGATTGTCATGAGGATTAGATAAGGTGATTCATTAAATGCTCCTAGCTGGGCACAAAGTAAATATTCAGTTACTATCAAACCATCCTTATTACCTAAGGATGGTTCGCCAGGAAACGGGGTCCCACCCTCCGAGGCAAAGTCACCAGTGTACAACACAAGCCAGTGTCAGGTGGGGGCCCCAAGTCATCAAGGAATTTCTATACTAGAAATTCAAAATGCCAAGACCATTAAGGCACAATCCCTTCTTTGAGAAACTCACAATCTATTGGGGAGACAAACACAGCAATAACACAGTGCGATGCTTTAAGAAATACACAAACCAACAAGAGATATCGCTTGTTGAATCCTGCTTCTGCTAGATGCTTCATGTAGCATTCAATTTAATACTAATAACTGCACAAGCTAGTAGCCCTATATGGGCAAAACAAGGTTTGCAGCGATGAGATAACTTGCCCAGTTTCACACAGGTAGTGAAAGACCTAGGATTTGAATCCCTGTTTGTCTGACACCAAAGCTATTATTCTTTCTGCTGCACAATCCTGCCCTTCTATGGAAGGAAAGGTTTCTCCCTTTATTTCCACCCACAAGATCTATTTGCTCCATTGTTTATACATAATGCCCATAATCTCTTTGTGCATGCTTGTGCTCTTTTATTTCATCAGTATCTCTTGGCCTGAGTAAGTCCAGTATATACGGTAAATTCTCTGTCATTTACTATTTATAGCCCTGCACTCGCCTCACATTGCCCAGTCCTTGTAGAACGTGATACTGATGCTGTGTCTCCTAGTAGGACAGTGTGTCCCTGTCACTCCTTTAGAATTTGTAGTTCCAAACACATTCGTCATAGAATACTTACTTTTAAATTGTGCTCTGGACATTTTCTAAGTGTATATAATAATTTGGTCTTTTTTTTCTAGTCGTTTCGTATGTTTTTCGAGGATAAAAGCTCTTTGGGGGCAAGGCCCATGTGCTTTATTTGTTCTCCTGACTTCACAGAGCCTAGCCCAACGCTGCATACACATGAATAAAATGTGCATGGTTCTTAACCGTTTAAGAACTCAGTGATATGTTGAAGAATCATCTGATATCTGCATTACCAACGGCACCCATAATTCTGTAATACACCAGTTTAAAAAAAAATGAAACCTTGCTCTTTTGAGACTTACACTCTTTTCTTGATGGCTGTCATCCTGATGAGGCAGAAACACAAAATTTGAGAAGCAGGTCTCAGGCTGTGTGTCTCTAAGAAGCCACAGTAACTTTTACTTTTTTGTTTGTTTGATTTTTGAGATGGAGTCTCGCTCTGTCACCCAGGCTGGAGTGTAGTGGCGTGATCTTGGCTCACTGCAACCTCCACCTCCCAGTTGCAAGTGATTCTCCTGCCTCAGCCTCCTGAGTAGCTGGGATTACAGGCATGCCACCACACCTGACTAATTTTTATATTTTTAGTAGAGACGGGATTTCATCATTTTGGCCAGGCTGGTCTCGGACTCCTGACCTCAGGTGATCCTCCTGCCTCAGCCTCCCAAAGAGCTGGGATTACAGTTGTGAGCCATCACGCCCGGCCCCAAGGTAACTTTTCTCTCTGATGATTCAGACAAAAGTCCAGGCAGCTGAGTGGGAAAAGAGTTCAATTGGCTATTGCACTGAAGGAGGCATTTGTTCTAATCTCACTCTCCTGTGAGGATTGGAAACTGACCATGTATGGCCATGGAGCTTTCCTTTATTTTCCAGATACCATGTAGATGTAAATGTATTAGTGTTCCAATTCCAGGGAATTCACCTAATTTAGGAATATTTTAAACAACCCACACTCAATTGTGATCTCAGATAAAAATGACACCTTTGGCCGGGCATGGTGGCTCACACCTGTAATCCCAGCACTTTGGGAGGCTGAGGTGGGTAGATTACAAGGTCAGGAGATCAAGACCATCCTGGCTAACACAGTAAAACCCCATCTCTACTAAAAATACAAAAAAATTAGCCGGGCGTGGTGGCAGGCACCTGTAGTCCCAGCTACTCGGGAGGCTGAGGCAGGAGAATGGCGTGAACCTGGGAGGCAGAGCTTGCAGTGAATTGAGACTGTGCCGCTGCACTCCAGCCTGAGCGACAGAGCGAGACTCTGTCTCAAAAAAAAAAAAAAAAAAGACACCCTGACAAAGGATGAGAATGAAGCAGGATTTGGTGCTCACTTTATTCTGTTTTCAAAGGAGATTCGGATAAAAAGTACTTTGGGAAAACACAATTATGTCCACCTATGTGTTTGGGAAGATGCCAAGCTTTTCAGGGTAAAGTTTAATTCCTATAGTTCTACATCCTGTTTTCCCATGAATGTTTTCCTGGTTCATTATCATCAGTCCTCCAGCATTCACTGCCGGGGTTTCACTTGCCTTTTGTTGTTATTTTAATTTTTAATCTTGATTTATGTAATTTTCAGCCTTACCTAAAAATTACAAAAAAAGTTCCATATACCCTTATATCCCCATATCTCATTTACTCAGATTTTCCTTAATAGCAACATTTTGCCATGTTTACTTTCTCTCTCTCACTCTCTGTCTCTGTCTCTGTCTCTCTGTCTCTTCACACACTCACACATGCATGCACACACACACACAGACACATCGATACATATATACATATATTTTTATCTGGACCATTGAGGGTAAGTTGCAAACATGACACCTCTTTACCTCTGAATGCTTAAGTATATTCTTTAAAACTAGAACATTCTCTCACCTAACCATAACACAATTGCCAAAATAAGAAAATTAACATTGATGTCATACTATAATCTAATTGACAGCTCTTATTCAGAGTTCACCGATGTCAAAATAATGTTCTGTAATAGCAAAAGAAAACACCAGATTACAAATTGCATTCAATTGTCATGTGCTTTCAGTCTTCTTCAACTTGAAAGAATTCCTCAGTCATTCTTTACCTTTCATGACCTTAACTTTTTTTTTTTTTTTTTTAAGAGATGAGATCTAGCTATGCCCAGGCTGGAGTGCAGTGGCTATTCACAGTGTGATCACAGTATGCCATAGCCTCAAACTC